ATGAATAAGTGATAAAGCCGCAGTAGGATGAGGGCGAAGTCCGTAGTATAAATTCCAGGAGGTTGTCCTGCGCCCGGGCTCTCTCCCCAGGGTACACCACGCCCTCAAAGCAGCGGCATAAGGGTTATGCTTGATAGATACGGCCCGGCTAAGTGCTTATCGTATTTCGTTTAGACGCCACCACACTCGGAGCTACAACGATCGTTCTTGTGAACGAACCCTTAAGAGCATCGTGTGCTTAAAGCTCGCTCGGCTCGACTCGACTTCTTCCATCTAAAATTTCGGGCAAATGGAAATAAAAATTCGCGCCACGGCGCAATTTTCACGAATGCAAAATGTTAAAGGACCTAAAGTAGAAAATGTTTTATCTGCTTATAGTGACGAATAAAGATGATGTTGAAGTTGTATTTTTCCCGTGAATAATGAATTTTCGTAATTTTCTAAGCAATGTGCGAATCTATTAGGTTGGAACAAAAATTTGTAGCGCTACTTCATTTCTATCATGCCTAAGGGGCCTATTTTCTAACTCTTAACGACTGCAATGATATCGTTACATTGCCATTGCACAGATTTTATATAAAAAGCTGCGCAACGACAATTTAACGACATTATTAGAGTCGTTAAGAGTTATAGACTAGACCCCTAAATGTTTTAAAAAAAATTGGCAATTATACATGGAGAGAATTTTTTCTTAGAGTTTACCCTGAAAGTATGACAGTCGTCGACAACATATTGTATTTCGAAGAATTTCAATGTAAATCTCTCTCATTCATTAATAAAACTACAATAAAGTATAAAATAAGTTTAATTAATTTTATTGAAGTGCATGATAAAAATCTTTAAAACATTATATTATATCACAACTATTATTTTCAAGGTAAATTTTAAAAGGAAATTCTCTCTATGCACCCCTTTCGACAGAGCAAAGTTTTAACTGTAAGTTCTATCCGTTTTTTAAATTGTTAATTAATATTTAATTTCTAGAAATAAGACTTTTTTCTAAAGATATTTCCCCTGAATACTTTTGAATACTTTCTGTATTCACTGCATAGTATATTTATGATGTTTTATTCATTTAATTTTTATGAAGAGTCGCAAGTAAGATTATCAATAATTATTTACTTATTATAACGATTTAATATTTATTAATCGTACTATTGATAGCATTAGCAATTTATCAATTTTTTTCTGTATCTAAAAACAAATCGCATAATAATTTGTTTCAAAAGATAACGTCGACACGGTGATGAAGATCGCGAAGTATCGAGAGAGAGAAATGCCGTGGAAACCGAAGGAACTCGTTAAATACGATCTTGTGTTGTCTACGAATTTATTTTGGATTTGGTGCTACGACAGACAAAGGAAGAAAAATAAAACGAGACAAGTCCGGGCAGATCAAGATTCGAGAGTAAGGTTCATCCAAGATCGAAGGCACGTTATGGTACGTATACTCCTCCGACAGTCGTACGGCAGTCTTAAGGGATAAGGCTTTTTCACCTTCGTTCCGAAAGAGAGTCGCGTCTTTACGAACGCGTTAGTTTCACGTTCTGCTTATGGCTCACTGGGGGCTCCATTAAAATGCCGCGAATTGTTTACCACCCGACCTCGTGCGTGCACCTCGTAATATCTGTTGTAAGCTACCATCCTTATACGACGTTCGTGGAAGTTTATTTCTAAAAAAAAAGGTATATTAAATCGATACTCGAATGTATCAAAGTTTATTATTATCTCTTTTTCGCGATGTCTGTCTCTTATTGCGTTTACTTCGCGAACGGTTATCATATTTTAACAGTTAATATCAAAAAATTAATACTATCACAATATATATAATATAGTAAGAGTGTAATATTAACTGTAATTAGTATTCACTTCGAAATTTCCTTAACTGGTATTTGCAGATTCAGTGTACTTTAAATTAATCTTTGTTTAAATTTAACGTAATTGAACAATTTTTGTTTTCATTTTAAAGGTCGAAATCTAAGGAATAAAGTTATGTAACTTAAAATTGTGTAAGGTTTTTAAAAGCATTTGTTATAAACAATTAGTTTTATCACAAATTAGAAAAATGTCTGGGCTCATCAGCAAATATATCAATAATTAAAAGGTAATTACTGATACACTAAAAAAAAGATTGGTTGCTGCAGCAAATTAGATGGTTAAATATGGCATAGCATTTTTGCTACAGCCAATTGAAAATTCTATGCCATATTTAACCATCTAATTTGCTGCAGCAACCAATCTTTTTTTTCAGTGTATGTATTTAGATATTTATTTAAACGGGCATTAAGCAGATATAGTAAAAAGTAAAAAATAAAAAACTAAACAGCACGCGCAAAGCCTGTCTCCTCTGTGATGGCTAATACTTGTAAAATTAGAACCTTTGCAATAGCGTATCTCATAACACAACAAATGCGACTTTTGCATTTCAAAGCGATTTTTGTCCCGTTAATAAAGACTGCCTGAATTATTCCGTCGACGAATGCGACATTATGAAAAATTGGCAGCAATTTCGCATGATCAGCATCCTCCATTAACGCGGTCAACGTCGCACTTGCGCGATATGCGAATTCTCTTTGCATGCTACTTAAATCCACGAGTGAATTCTATCAATTCTCGCTCGCGTACGGACCGCATAATGGTCGGAAGAGCTTATCGGTTATTAATGAAGTGAATAACGTCGCGTATCGTCACGAACGGAGGAGGGGGGCCGTTTAATGGATCGTTAGTTCCAGGCGACATAAATGAAATTCAGCATGCCTGCTCTTCGGCGTTCCGCGCGATTCCCCGATTGCAATATCGATCGTGATGACTGAAAATTCTCGAATGAGAAAATTAAGAACTTCCCTAAAATTTTATTTCAGGAAAAAATGATGACTTTACAAAGACATGAATAAGTTGAAATTATATAGAGGAGAATATTTATTAGTTAAGATAACAATATTTCGTCTTTATTTGCATTTAGTTCTATTACGTTTTGATTTTCCAGTCTGCACTCAGAAATGAAAATCAGAGCCGAAACCGTCATCGCGCGCCTCCTTTCCCGCTTCGTCTTTTCCGCTCGGGCTGATCGCGTATACACGCATGGTGGCTCGCTTTTGCTCAGGTTAACGCAAATGCGACGGGAACAAACAAACGGGGAATACAAATCTAGAGTGAAATGAACAATGCCCGAGAGAGTTACTGCCTCCTAATTGAAACCGCCCCGCTCCCTGCGCTTCCTCTTTCCTCTTTCCGCTTTCCTCACTCTCCGTCCTTTCCATCCTCTTCCGGTATCACCCTTCCTCCCTGTCCCACCGATTCTTCCTCATCCCTTTCCATCCCCCGCACCGCCTAATCGTCCCGCACAGATGCGTGCCGCGTTTTCTCTCTATCTGCGTATAAAGCGTATAGTTTATGACAAAAGTTCAGCCTCGAGTTTAACAAAACGCCCATTGGCCCATTGCAGTACACGAGCCGATGCGTTTACATGCGTCGAATAAACGGGTATTGATCACGTCGTTCGAGATCATCCGACGTTCGTTCGTGCTGTCGTTAAAAGAATACCGTAACGCTACTACGTTGAGCTAATGGGCATTCTAATTGCTCGCTGAGGAGAGCTTCGTTGCTAACGCGATCCGTATACATATTATTTTAATTATGCTATACTGCTGATCTCGCAATATATCATTAACGTAATGATGCGATAATAATTTTAACCTGATAACAACTAATGAATTAATGATACTCAGTATAATAATTCATATTCACTTTTTGATATTATATTAATAATGTTATACATTTGTGTTATATTTTAAAGCTCCTGTTTACTCACTACTATCTTAGATTGTGACGTCAAAAACGAGAAAGAAACATACAGTAAAAATTCTTGTAAAATATATTTGAAAGAAATATTTTTCAATAAAATAACATTGCAATCGATAGAATAGATTTATACTTAAGATTTATTCTTGTTCCTGTTATGTTGTTTTATTGGAACATATTTTTACATCGATATTGTATGAAACATTTTTATCGTACATTTTCTTGCTTCCGACGTCACAATCCGAGATAGTAGTGAGTGAAAGAAGCCTTAATAATAATTAATTATTAACAGCACCAACAAATACAGACTATTTTTTTATTAAAGTATTGTTTGCTCCAATTGATTTATTCAACAATGCAATGATTACTGTAATATATTTTTTAACATTATATCTTATTCGAAGATTTCTCTTTTCTCCAATGTATCTAAAATTATGATATAATAATTATTATTATACTTTGCTTTCTCGAACGGAAATCCGAGTGGGAGCGATTAGCCAAATTCGTCTGCGAGAATATTAACAAGATTAGCTATATACGATATATTAATAATCGATTATTCACCTAGATGTGGCATTTCTTGTTTTCCCGTTCATTCGTGTGCGAAGCGTACCCATACGTGCGAAAATTAATGCATGAAACCTATTTCACACACTTATGAGATTCGACCTCTGTAGACTTCGGATATTTCCTGCGAGGGCTGCGAGCGTCGTAACAAAATTCCTCTATGCAAGAAGTTTTCGTTCATACGCCGAAAATAAACTCGTCTAGTCGTAAGAGAGACGTTGCAAGCGCGCGTGTTATATTTCACAGGTGTGTTTTAATCCCCAACATTCTCAAGATGGCTTAAGTTTATTATTGCCCTCAATAATTTAGAGATGTCTTGTATAATACGAGTTCGCGTCGATTTTCTTCGGATATAATTTAATCGAAAGGAATCCTTTAATATTCACGAATGGCGGATTTATCATTTCAATGATTAATTGAATGCCCATGAGTATCGCCGAACATGTAATGACTGGCTTTAACAAACGTCACTCTCTTTGTTGAGTGAAAGATAAAAAAAAGACTGATGGAAATGCGGCAGCGGTTAGAATGCGGAAAGATATGCGCATTTATTGAAATCGATAATCGATGCGAAACAATCGGTGTTCGATCGAAATTTCTTATGCGAGACGTCAACGGACGCAATTCAATCGGCACGTTCAGCGTGACATAGATCGTTTTCGCGAACGTTATCATCGATGGCGCGCGCATGAGTGTGCGTGCGAAAACGAGTTGCTAATCCAGCGCGCCGCAAAATACCAGGTAAAAAGAGCCGCGATCGTATAAGTGACGTGCCAATCTCTATTTTCATTATATTCTCTCGTTCATAAAATTTCCGTTTTAAATTGTATACCATAAAAATCATGATAATTCGAATACTTGGACTGCAAATTTAGCATTACGTATCAAAAGTACTCAAATAAAAATAATTATAGATATGTATGATATTTACTTGTTTTGTATTTTTGAGAGGCATATACATACCAATGATCAGGTTAGATGAAAGATAATTCGAAAATTTCCCAATAAATAAATTGATTTTAAATTAATTCATTTAGCTGCTCGTTATTTAATTATATAGATATAAAATTGTCTTTATGGTTATATATATAGTTTTATTCTTCAAACTTTCTTTTACTCTCTTATCATTCTGAAGAGAAAATTTTAGCATTACGTATCAAAAATATTCAAATAATTACGATATTTACTTGTTTTGTATTTTTGAGAGGCATATACATACAAAAATGATTGTTATAGATGAAAGATAACCGAATTAGAAAATCTCCCAAAAAATAAATTGATTTAAAATTTATTCATTTAGCTGCTCGTTATTTAATTATATAGGTATAAAATTGTCTTTATGGTTATATATATAGTTTTATTCTTCATTCGAACTTTCTTTTACTCTCTTATCATTCTGAAGAGAAAATTGTAAGAATATTGAGACTAATTCCGAAAGAGTATTGCTCTTCTTCGTAGAAAATCGCACGAGGATCACGCTCGAGGAAATCGAGACGTCTCCGTCGTGATGTCTTCGCAAACACATAGCCAATGAGAGACATGGTGAACGAACGAACGGGAACAAGGCCGTCATCACAGGAAGAGACGGAGTCGAGATTACCAGCGCGCTTCGTTTTCCCTCCTTTCCTTCTCCTTTTCCGCGTCCGCCACCCTCCGCATTCAAACGTGAAGTTATCAGGGCTAATTTTCCGCCTTTGTCGCGCCCCTCGGTGGCCACCAGCCGGTTCATTATTCGCATCTAGCGACCACTGTTTTTAATAACCTAATGGCTCTTACGCGGTACATTATATCGCCACTCTTCTCTTCTCTCACCCCCTTCTCTGCTCCCTCCATCAGCTTCGTTACTTTTTCGTTAACTCGCTCTTTTATTCGCGATCCTTGACGAAACGATGAAACATCCAACTCTCCTACCATTCGCTCGCTCATGGCGCTGTACTCTCGTGCGGTAACTCTCTCTCTCTCGGATTCGCATTCCATCGAGAGAAATTCGAACGACAAACGAGAAATTCTCCTGAAAATCCTTACCTGACTTTCCCCTTCGTGCGATCGCTGGAGAACGGAACGATCGCTTAGGCCTTTATTCCTTGCACTTTTGTTGAATGGCGATCCTCTGCGGTTTTTGTCTCAGCGAATAATCGAAGGAAAGATGGGTCTGCGAACGTTGGAGATTAGACACAAATAAAGAATAAAGACACACTCGAGTTATTGTTAATCGCGCAATTGGTCTCGTTTCTTGAGTGATTGATCATTGTGCGAAGATGCGAATTATCAATAACGCGAATATACGTCGATAGGAAGAAATTAGGAACAATTCTTCTCACCGACAATTCTCTTTGGCTCGGATCATTTGTTTCCTTGATAAATAATGGGTATAAGCGATGGTATCAATCGCGGTACGTTTTCCCGCTTCCGGTTGCAAGATTTCGTTTTTCGCACACTTCGCGAAGGAGTCAAACTAGACGCAGAGCTCCCGCGGCTGAGTAATACGGCTGATTACGATTCAGAATGCGAGGGCGATGATATTTCACTTCTTTCTCGAGGCTTTACGATCGGACGTTTTTAATTTCCCGCCGTGCGCCCCGGCGAGAGGCCCAAGCCGAATGCAAATTGTGACAGGAAAGTTATGCGCGACCGTGAAATTAATGTCTTTCCGAGATCGGGACTTAATAACCCGTTATATACTCCGCGTGCCACACACATATACGCGTGTGCAATCCTGCTAGCGGATTTATGAAGTGACGAAGTCTCTCGCGCGCGCTTGCTAAATTGAATTCGACTTGCCCCATTTCTTTGGCTCGTATAAATCATCAGGGAATCGATCGCCGATATTTTCGTTTAAATGTCTAACATGTACCTATTTGTTAAATTTTGCATCTACTGCACCGTACGATTAAATTATAATAATATCCTAATGAATAATATTCATAGATTATATATGATATTTGTAGCTAAAACTAATCTTGAGATATTATATCGGTTATTTGCTACAATAACGACGTAATTGTCGATTTTTCCGTTGCTGGGATAAAAGAGCGGAATATAAAGAAAAAAAAAAAAAAAGAAAAACATAAAATTAAAAAATGTATATCCTCTTATTTCTCTATCATTAGTTGTTACTTCAAAAATTGCATTTTAAAATTAAAATATAAAATTTTAATGATTTAAAATATTCAAACTTATTTTCTGGAAAACTTCATTGTTTTGATTTGTGTCGTAGCAAATGACAGATATTAACTTATAATATTTTACAGCATGAAACGAACAGCCGGATCGTCCTCTCTCTCGCTATTTTGTCTTCGAGTATGCCTCGTGATCTACATGCTTTCCATCATTTCTACGTTCAGCTTGGCCAAAGTTAGCAAACATGATCAGAGAAAAGCAATATACACGAGGAAGGAAAGACTCGACTCGATTAAAAATTCAAAAAAATCGACCATTTCTCCACATCAGCATAAAAATAATAAGGTTAATCAAAATATATTTACGTAATCAAAACTATTTTAATATTTCATTAATCTAGAACGATGCTTGTCGTTACTTGATGCACGCAATTTTCTCGATAGAAATTTTCCACGAGATTTCATAAAGCGAGTGTATTATCATGATTGATAAGAGGAATAATATCTGAATCGGCCGAGAGCGACATGCGACGACAGATTCTATTCTCAAGAAACGTTTTTTTAATATTTCAAGCGTTAATTTCTTTTGGTGGGAGACATACGGGAACGCGCAGAGCATCTCTTCCGCCAGCTCTCAGTCTTTATGCCGAATGACAAAATGACAAAGGGTTGGTCGCCCCGGGCCAGCGATATTACCGTTTCCGTTTCGGAACTATGCGAACTGTCGTCTATCGTTCCTCTCTTCGGTCGCGTATTGCGGCCGAAAATGCCTTGTGATTGATTATGCCCGCCGCACTTTCGGTACTCCCGCAATGGCCGATTGATGGAGAATTTGCGAAAAGGATCGTCACGCTTGCAAACGGAATCAGAATGTCTTAAAACATTATAAAACGTTAATGCGTTTTCCAGAAATAGAAAACAGATAAAATAATTTCAGGAGATCACAAATAATTCAAATTATATAACGAAATAGCAAAATACGATTTTTCCTCGTATTATAGTGTTTTTATAAAAAAAATATTTGATTATATTACATTGTATCGATAATGTAATTTTATTCAATATGGTCTATCTAAGCGTTGCGATTTTTATTGAAAATATTTAATTGAAAACAGGTCAGATTCAAAATAGGAAGACATTTTTGAATATAAATTGAAAATATGAGAAATTTTCAATATTTACGTGAATTTAATAAAAATTTAATTATTCATGTAATTACCTACAAACATCAAGTAAGCCGTATTTGGCAGTGATAATATAGTAAAACCAACTAGTTTTGTATGGATCATTCTTTAATAAAAAATTCATTTTTTTTTAATTCAGAACAATATCAAACAATTAATAAAATTTAATAATGATTATGTATGATTTTATTCCATTTCATTACCGTTTTGTATGTTTTAATTTGAAGAAATAAATTTATGCAATAAAAGTTGATTTTTTCCATAAAATCTAATGCTATTGTACTTACTATCTACTACGAAAGCCATAAGGCAATTCTTATGATATTACACTTTGAATGAATTTTTAAAGATACATACATTAGTTAACTGCACATATTTAATTAGTTAACAATATCAATAAACTATGTAGCGCTGTTCTTAAAATTAAATTCAATTGACACTTGAAAAAGATCAAACAAATGCTAAAGAATCTTGCGATATACCATTTAATAGAAAATACTATAATTATTTAAATATAAAAAATGATCCACATCTGACGCTTTTACCCTACCTTATAATTTATAATACACACTTATGCGTTCTATTAAAATTAGAATATCTTTCAACCAACAAAGACATTTCATCATCGTAGGCACTTTAATAAAAAGAATTCTAGTATACACACATACAACGCTAGCTACGTTAGGTCGAAAGGCAGACCGAGGGTGAGACAGAAGGCGAGTCTTTATTTAGTTAAATGCCGCGTATAATTGGGTGTAAAATCTTTTTTTTGTTCGGCAAACCGACCGCAACGTCGTGTCCTACCGCGAAACCACTGCGTCGCGAGGCTCAAGTTTTCCACCCTTTTCCGCAGCGCGCTGGCTGCCGGTGGTGGCTGCCAGCCACCTGATGGCACAAGGGCCCACCGGGAATGAGATGCAGATTGCCAGAGGCCACTTCAGCCACGCTGAGGGGGGGGGGGAGTGAATTTTTAATAATACCGCGCCCCGTGCCCGCGGTTCCCGGATGTAGAATCTCATTGTTTCGGCCGCACGAGCGCGTCGGAAAAAGGACGAAGTAAAATAGTATGTACGCGATGCGTTACGGGATATCCCACCCAAGCATTATTACAACGCGCTAACGTGTCGGTGCAGGTGGTAGGAAGGGATTGTCAGTGGCAGGATATTCCGCTGTCTTCGCAGCAAGAATGCTGCTGCAGAATGTTCGAGGCCCGTGGTACATTTAAGAATACGAGTCGCTTGTGCAAGTGTTAATTTTCTCTTTCTCTTTTATAGATATTAATCTACCAACTATTTTTCTCTCTGGTAATGATTTTCCTCAATATAAAAACATAGAAAATTAATGTATGTTAATATGTTACCTTATTAAGCTGTGATATTGTCTTTTAAACATATAGATTGACGGCAACCGAAATTATTCCATGAATAAATCTGTGATGATTAGCGATGAGAAAAAAAACAGCGCGGCTCTAAATAGATTTCTGGAAGATGTTCTAAATGCGCAGAACGATTTACAATGGATAGATCACGTCACGCGTCATATTAATCATCGAACACGCCTAAATGAGTAAGAGCCTAGATATAAGTTATGTTGCTTGTTACTGTAACAAGAAAGAAAGAAGTAAAATTAATTCAATAGGAATTGTTACTAAGCTTAACTCAATTTCCATAAATTTTAATCGCTAGAAATGTCCACTTCAATTGGAAAAAGTTACCAACAACCTCGATCTATATATTTGCATTCTACAGTGATTTAGAAACGCGCCAATTTTTATTGAGTGATTTAATAGGAATATTTCCGATACAGTCCGCTGGCGCATACAAACCAGCACTCTACGGTATCCATCAACACGAGGAATATCCTGGAACGGGATGATATTGGTTATGGAAGTAGGTTACGCGGCAAGAGGGGTTTCGATCGGAATTATGAAACGATGTGGATGCTGCAGAAGAAATATGGACGGAAGAGTACTCGCGATGTACCTCAAAGAGTCTATCTAGATAATGATATGACATTTAATGCTGATAACGCTCTTTATCAGTCCCATGGCACGTAAGAGCAACGAATAATATTAATACATTACAAAATTATAATTTATTTTGTTTAAATAAAACCTAAAAAAATTATTTGAATAAACATCCAAAAATTAATGAAATATTTTTAGTGTTAAAGTAATATTTTATTTTTTATAAAGCTTTTTTTTGATAAATATTCTATTTTTATCTTTTCATATTGCGTTGTCTTTCTAAAAGAAAATTTTTTCATTGATATAAACACGTTCAGATAAAAATAACAATTTATATATAATTTATAAGATTATTTGAATTAATGGACTACATTTTTCATACTTGTACGTAGCAAATCTTCTAAAAGCTAGCATGTTTCTTATAGTAGACAGATAGAAATTCATTCCACTCTTGAGCGTAGGTTAGATAGAGCTGTCTACGAAGAAGGAACGATGGTCGATCAGCCATTGAAAGATTGGACTGGAAAGAAGAATTTCCATTCCTCGCGCGACTGGTCGAATTCTAATGAGAATCCCAAAGTGACTAACGGCAAAAGTACATGGCTTCGAGATTACGAATCTCCTGAAAACCTCGTTAATTCTGGTATTATCGAAATAATTAAAATATGTTAAAAACGTTGACTTAGATTTGATGAATAACATGTTAAACATGATCTCTTAGATTCGAACAAAAACAAACAGTTACATACTGATCTGCGGGATCAATTCGAAGTATCATTGCACGATCCGATACATGATTTAACTGCTTCGCGGAGATCTGTAGTTGCAATCAGGAATGGCAAAACTCGAAACGTATCGTTATCATTGGAATCTTTGAAGAGAACTGTGTTAGAATTAAGAGATAGTTTGATGTTGGGCTATAAAAGGAAAAATATAATACCGAAAAGTAATAATTACGATTAACATTATCATTATTACTGTCATTATTATAATCAACTTTTTCAGGAGAATCTAATTGGTGGGATGAGCCTAGATCGACAGCTGAAATGTACAATTTTAGGGAAGATCTTGACAACTATCTTGATGAAGAAACAATGCGAAGGCTAAAAAGAGCAAAAAATGTAGATAATAAAGATGAAAATGACTCAAAACTTTTTCCGGGAGTAGAGTTTGGAGAAACATATTTTGAAAAACGAAATTCGAAAGAATCACATGATCGCAGTAAACGCAGTAGAAGGAGTTTCGTCGTTGATTCAAATTACATAAATCATCAAAAAGATATTCCTGAAAATAACCCCTATCGAAAAATTGAAATAATTAATAACGTTCTCGAAAATATAACTACAATACGAAATACTGCAGAAGTCGTTACCGAATTATATTCTAGTCTGAGTAACGACGGAAAAAATTCAATGAACGCTTCAAACAAGATGAATATTACCGATTCGCAAAATTCTTTAGATAAAGGATTTTTTTCAAATAATTATTTCAATAATTTAACGATTACCCCATCAAAAGCTAACAAAACAAATATTTTTAAACTGAAATATTCTCCAAATACAGAACTATATTTAAATGATCATTTCTTTGTTAACAAATCATTATTTGTCATAAATACGGACTTACAAACGCATTTACCAAAACATATTACCAAAAAAGAAGTTCCTAACACAAGCTTGAAGAAAATTGGCCAACGTTCCACAATCAAGAGGATATTAAAAACTATTGATCATACAGCGGAGAATCCTACTAACTCTCCCGATTTCGAAAAAAGCGCATTCACTAATTTGATAGATTTTTCAATAAACGATAGTGCCTATGATTCTGGGAAATCCCTGAAATATCGAAGCGACGGAGAGAAATTAGGATTCGCGGCGCAGAAAATATCGCAACTCAGCATAGATGATGAACAATCGAAGGGCGTGGAAAAGGAGTTTCCCCAGGGAAATATGTCGCATGGGTTCGGTATCGGAACAAATGAATCATGGAGCTGTGTCGTCACAACAACCGTAACCGCGAAAGAAAGAGAGATTGAGGCAGACGGAACGCAAAACCGCGAGCCGATACCCGGTGTCATCAAAATATTTGAGCCTCGAGGGCGTCTATATCAAAAGCAGGAGGCAGAGACGACGACGAGATTGTCTCGGCAAATGGGAAAAGACGGTACGTCCGTGCCGAAGATGAAGACGAACGAAGATGAAGTCGACGAGTCAAGAAATACAAATGCAAGGGAAGACTCTTTGACTTCGCTGATTGATTCTGTCACTAATACGACAATGAAACCGGAAACCGCATATATAAATATATTTGAGACTGGTGAATCGATAATACTGAAGGATCTCACTTCGGTGACTGTAGACAACGATTTGCGAAAGCAGCAACAGATGGTTCCGCCTCTAAGTGTCGAGAATAGCAACGCAAATAAATCGAATGGAAATTTGGATACTGATAAAATCGATATTCGTGTTCTCGGGTCAAACGGAAATGAGACTATGAATGTAAAGGAAGGTACTCGAACTATAATGGAAGCTCACGAATATCATAAATCCGATAATAATTTACAGAGGAAATTATTATGGGTTTCCACGATTTCAGTCGATGGCGAAACTGGAGATTCATCGATAAAGAGCATGGGATCAGTTTTTAGTATTGCGACTGAGAGTCATATTGACAATGTGAGTGAGAATCGACAGCAAAATAAAATAACCGATTCTGCAAACTTCGGAAAAATATTGATTAGAACTAAACGCGAAGATGAAGCTGAAAAAAGTCGTATGCAAGATGCTTTAAATTCTCAGATTGCGGAAATAAATCGTAACGCTCGTTACAAACAATCTGTATACCCTTATAAAAATATTGACACCAATAATGAAGCAGAGAATACAGCAGTCGAGAAAGAAGCGCCGATAAATTACGATGAAAGTAATGAAGAATATCAAAATCAGAATGTCGAAGAACTTAAAGGGCTCTACAATGATAGACAAGATGTACTTGAAGGTATATAAAAATTTGATGAATTTGCCGTTCACAGCAAAAATAACACAAAAGTAATATATAAGACGTATTTACAGATAATGATAAAGCAATGGAAAGAAATAAAGAGGAACAGTCTTCATTTAGACAGCAAATTGACCCTGTAAGAACTGATATGTTAATTAAGCAAAAGCTTGATAAGAAAAGGCACAAAGACAGTAGAAATTATAGAAGAAAAAGACATAGTATGTTGGATATGGTCGAGTATTACGATTATGATGATAATGAAGAGCAAAAACGCGATGCTACAATAAACGAGCAGGAAGCTGTAAATAAAGATAATAAATTTTCAATTAATGCAAAAATAAAGCGCGGTAAGATAAGCATAATAAAATTCATATTAAAAAGTGTGTAACTAAAATTATAGTAAATTTCTGAAACTAATTGAACATCGAAATTTCAATTGACCGCAGCTGGCAAATCATCATATAAGTCAGGTGACTTAGGAAAGAAGAAGAATGAACACGCCGAAGCGGTAATGAAAGAAGAACTCAGAAAAGCAAAAGCAAAGTACAAAGAGCCAAAAGAAGAAATTATCGTTGATCTTGGTAAGAATAAGACTACGAAAAAAGATCAAAGTGACAAAAAAACCCTCAGTTCGTTAGGATCTAGTTTCGAGAACGTGTTCAATGAGGAAAGACAATTATTGCCTAAAGATAACTTGGAGAAAATTCGCCAAAGCAAAGATTTTGCGAATAATGTTTATCACGAAGAGTCAGCTGCCGCGAAATCGAAATGGTAAATAGAATTATTTTGTAAGCTAACGATAGTCGCATATATCTTGTTATTGATTGTTCTCACTAATAACACACATATATTATAAGATACCTTCTATTTTAATTATAAATTTATCACATAAACGCATGCAATTTCATGCTATTGACGCAAACGACCAAAAAATAGATGTCTGATAGGTTGGACCAACCGTTTGAGGATAGAAGCGCATCATCGAAAAAGAATTCAGAGTTATTATTAGAAGACAATAAGAAAGAAACTTCGAATGAACCTTTAAAATACATATCCATTGCAGATGTAAATACCAATGTTGACAAAAATATTTTATTGGATATTCAGCCTATCAACATTATGGATCAAAGTAAAGAATTGGAAACGTCAAAAGAGTTCTATGAAGATTTTGGAAACGACCGGTACAAATGCTTTAAAAATTATGTTATACATTGTAATATATATAAAATATACATTAAAAAATTTCAAATAGTTGAAAAGTATTTTGCTTGACGATTTACGCATAATTAACATGATGATAATTTGCAAAAAAAAACTTATTTTAAATCCTTCATAATTCTACAATAATTAGAATATTTTATATATTTTAAAATAAAAATCAATTAATAAATATTAACTGAAGAAAATTCATACATAAATTCTACTAAAATTATTTAAGGTTACGTACATATATATGATTCACGAAATTGTGCAGATGTAATGTTTACCTACTTTTTTTTGCAGATCAGAAGATTATTATTATCAAGAGAACGATTCAAATAATGTTGAGTTCCTGTATGAAGAATTAAAGAACTTGTACGATTGGCCTGATAGTGAATTAAAGAGCAGACCTCGGCTCAGAGGCGATCAAAGACTACGCTATGAATCAGATGGTATACTTGATACAAATCCCTCTCAATTACAGCCATTGAACGATAGATTCCTCAGCTCGAGTCAAAATAATAAAACACAAAAGAGATTCCAGTCAATTGATGCATCTTTGATGAGTAAATATTGAATCCAATCATCAAGAATAAAAGAATTCTTACTTATTTTCACTTTAATCAAATCTATCCATATGATTTTTTAACATTTTATATCAATTTTGATTTTAATGACAAGTTTATTTCTATCTTCATTTCTTTCTTCCTCTAGCTGTAGTTTATTACGATTTTTATAACGCTTTATAGCTAATAGCAATACTTTTACGAAATATTTGATTGATAGCAATAGATTCGAATAGCACTCTGGCGAGCAATTATTTCGCACTTAAAGTCATAGATGATATGTTTAAAGGTAACATAGAGCAGAGTTCAACGGAGAAAAATTTACCGAGTTCATTTTCTGTCAGAACAACTGCCAAGTCAAAAGTATCTATAGTATGTTTATGATTATTATTATTTATGGCTTAATGTTATTTATACTTTTTTCGCAACAATATGAAGTAATTAATTGATATAGGTTTCAGAAGATAAAAATGTTCCGCTTTCCGAAGGACGGCCAGTAATCGATACAGATTCCGAGACTTCGCATGAAAATACCAAGTACATCGAGTCCAAAACACATGAATCACTGAAACGAAATCTAAATTTGGAGAAACAGTCGGCGATTAGTTCACAAGACTTATATGAATCTTTCGTAGAATCACCATATTGGTATGATGATTCCAATGTAAAAGTCAGATTGGGCAGAGAACTGAAAGCTACAAACGATACAATAATTTCGGATTTATTAAACGCAGAAAATGCAACTTCTTTGCAAACCTTTCATGATAATTCATCAAAATCGCAAAATTGGCACAATAATACAATCACAAATTCATTTAATATTTTTAATAATAATAATAATCATAATGTGCCTGAGCGAAAGATTAAAAATGTTCAAGAATCGATTTTAATGAATACGGTTAATATGGATGGTGACGACCTCGAAGGTGCCGAACAAAAATACGTAAATAACCAAACAAGAATTAGAAGAGCAGCTATTTCGTATCGCACGTTTTACGATAACTTGAATCAAAATCAACACGATTACGATGAAATGAGCAGAAATCTAGGTAATCAGTTTCATTCTCCGAATATCGTCAAAAATCAGTTCGATGAACCGTATGACGGATATCAGATTGGAAACAGTGACACACAAAATCGTGATCAATACTCGAAAATTCCTCGAGCCAATACTAGAAAGAAGAAATCCGGAAAAGGGAATAAAAAGAATAAGCACTTCTCAAAAAAACACGCAGAGAAAAATAGTTCGCACTCTTCCTCAAATAGAAACAGAAAACATCACATACAACAGTCTGATATGTCGAACTGGGGTGATTTAAAGCAGAAAAACAAAGCAGAAGTATCTCCTTTGATTAAACGCACTAAAGTTCAGAAGAGTAAAACGGCTGAGCAAGGACTACTTCGTGCAAGAATGAACGAGGCACTGGGCGAAAAAGTGTTTTACGGGAATCAAAGTGTGAGTGAAAGGACAATCGTTGATCGCGTCGTAGATCGCGCGACTGGATTAAAAAGAGAAAAGAATTAAGGATGATTTTTCAGACAGTGAAGCCGGAGGTGGATGATGTACGCAGAAAGGAAATTACACTGCTCCTCGCAGCCGACAACATCGACGACGAGTCGCAGATGGACGTGGCTCTTCACGGCGAACTAGCTGGCAAAATTGTCGAGCAAATATTCGAACAGGCAAGTAAAGGATCGTGTTGTGTGATGTCAAAGCTAGATTCGATATCCCTTTGATCGAATATGAAAAATTATTTGACGCACAGAATGGTCTCCTAACGTAAAAATAATAATTATAATGATAATCATGATATTACAGGTCCAAAAAAATGATCGATTGAAGAGTGTTCTTGGTCCTGGACTTCAGCGCGATCGCAAAACGGAAGATGTGATAAGGGGTAACATTTATCAACAAGGACTCGACAAAGATGGAGTAATCACGATATTTATCACAAGATTTGCGTGTATCATGTATGATAGAAATATTGATTATTTCAAATTTTTATATTTTAAATTAATATGCTTTAGACGAATCACACGGAAACGATGAAGAAAGTTATGGGACTCCTTGATACGCTAATCCTAAATGAAGTGCAAAAGAAAACTTGCGTTACTTTATCGCCAGATATGCGAGAATTTTTAGGCTGGATGCTGGAGATGGATCAAGAGAAAGAATTGTTGCAAGAGGAAGAAGTATGTAATCTCCAATTGCATATTAATTATATCGTGCAATATAATTAATTCCCAATCAATTAATGAATATTAATTTTTATCTTAGGCACCACCGCTGCCATTGGTCCGTGAGAAAATTATTCCAGAGCAAGACACAGGACGCAAATTCCTGTTTGACAGCACCGTCGAGCAAAAGGGAGAAGGAAATATTAATGATCTACAGACAAGAGTGAAAATATTGGAAACTCTTGTGAAGGAATATAACGCCCTGCCTGCAGAAGAGAAAACGAAGGTTCAAGCAGCCCACGACTATTTGGTAAGATTTTACGTATAAGTATAAGCTAATGTACCATTTGATATTTAAAATAAAATTTTATATATGATAAAATTTTATATATGATAAGAGATATCTCATAAATATCACAAAAATATCTGAAAACTATCCAAAAAATATCAGAAAAATATCTTATCATTTAGATTCAGCAGTTAAACCTACTTTTGCAACACATCGAAGCGCGAGAAACTGCAGAAACAAGAGGAAAGCCTACATCAATGTTTGGCGCAGCTAGAGGTAGAACCGGAAATGTCTTGCAATATAAAAGCGCAGTGCCTAATACCATTAATGCAAACCATTCAATGACAAAAGACGCATTCTCTTTGCCAATCGATTCGCATAATCTTATCCGGTTCAACAATTCATTTGAAACAATAGATAAACAGCTCCACGATAGTACGTAATATCTTTAGTGATTACATTTTGATTATTTTTAGTGTCTTCTAAAAAAAAATATTAATATATATATTTATTATTTCTAATTGACAGTTTAAGAATATCAAAATTTCGGCACATAAAATGCGGCAAATAAATGTACGGGTGATGTTCCTTCAATTATCGATATCGGGAAATTGGTTATCGGAAATGTTTTCGGTCTAAATACCACGGCATGATAAAACTACTTCCGCATCGAGTCAATAAAAAAAAACCATGGCGGTTTTGACCAAACTTTCGTACTCGAGTAATTACGTTCCGCATAATATCTAGTCCAAAAATAGTAACGACAAAAATATCTGCTCGATCATTTTCGCATATTCTGTGATAAAAGCAAATTGACTAATTTATTTATTATATTTTTACTTAATATTCTTCAGAAGAGTAAGTTAGCATAACAAATTTATGCTCTGTTATGTTTTAAAATTTCCAGGTCACGTTGCATTTGGTCGCAGAGAAACGCGCAGCATCGATAACATTCCATCGAAACGACGGCGACGTCGCAAAACGAAACGCCAGAGGTTCCGCAATCAAAAGAAAAAGAAAAATCATAGACAGTCAAGGCAGAAACACAATGAGCATCATAGACGCCTAGATCACGTAGGATCATCCCTAGGATACAAGAAGTCGCGACAAAAACGCGCAAATCCCGAAGAAAAAAACGATCAGGTTTCACTTTATTATTTAAGTTACGAGAAGCCAAAAATTTACGATTCGTTCGATCTCCTCGATGCGAAGTTGAAAAGGAAGAGAAAAAAGAGGAAATTAATCGGTAAGAAAAACGCGACAATCAAGACTGACAGAATACTCGATTTGTTACCAATAAAAGGCAAGAATCGCATGGAGGACGAAGTGATACTGCTCAACAAGCGAGAAGGGAAAAAGGAGAACGAAGAACAGCTGGAAGAGGTTGCCTTCGGCAAAGACATGAGGAATAGCACAAAGAAGGAGAGAGAACGATTCGAGAAATTGACGGAAGGAGATAAACATAAACCTCCTTCGATCAATGAAACGAGTTTCAGAATGAAGCGAGAGGACATAATTCGCAAGACATTAACCGGCGAGAGTACAGACCGTTCCAATAAATCTCATGCAGCATTCAAAATTCGTGATGGCGAATCATGGAATAATTCGGAAATAAATAATGTTAATGGCGTAAAAAATAAGAATAAACTGGAGTTGGTTGAGCGGAGAATCAATGTTTTCGCGAACAACAAAACCGATGCGGCAATTGATTCCGCGGCTACAGAAGTCAGCGCGGAAGAAAAGTTAGCGACAAATGGGGGAGCCAATAATCAGATTAAGGGAAAACTTCGTGCTATAAACCGTGAGACAAAAATTGACAAGGCGAACGGAAGTACGAGCTTCGTAAACTTGACGAGGAACGCGAAGCCTCGGGTCTCGGAGGAGCGACAGAAAGTTTCAGTAACGGAAAAAGAAGCAGATGATAACGCTGTAAAATTAAATCGTGCGACAAACTATCGACGTGAGGAAATAGATCCTGAAATCGAGTTGAAAAATCTGAGACAGGGAAGAGAGAAAAAAATTTATGACGTCGCAAACTGGAAGACTGGCAACTACTTTTACGATGATGATAATCTTTCTAGAAATAAATTAAGGGAAAAATATATGGCTAAGTTAGACGAACTGGGTGACCTGGATACGGATCCCGAGAATAATTTTGTACTTCTGAGATTAAGAAATAATAAATGGTTGAATGACGTCGAATGGAAGCTGTTGCCGATAATAAAACAATCTCCGTACGACGATTATGCCTTACCAAGAATTCGTTTAATAGAAAAAGAAACACCTGTATCAAGCGACATTAAAGACGTGCAACCTCAATCCAACTCTTATTTAATTGGCCCAAAATTTTGGCAACGGAAACATCGCAAAAGAAACAGTGTCTTTGATATCTCACCTATATTTAAAATAACCGACAGTGATCATTTTCCGCGCAAAATTCGTCGGAAAGCGAAACGAGCGTCTGAGATAGCGAGATTCAAGGATTTACAGGTAGATCCCAAAATTATTCTTAAAATTCAAAGATTATCTCGGCCATGGAACAACAAAAGGTCGAACGGCGTTGCAGAATTTCGAATGCCTTTCGTATTGAAAAATCCTAATCGCGAGTTCCGCGAAATATTTCGCTCTCGCAATCATCCAGAGCCGATCGACGATCGAGTAATCTACGATGCAGTCGGTCTGCAATTACCGGTTTGGCCGTATCAGTATTACGACGATTTTACGGATTCATCGACCTTTCACTTCGTCCCGGATATTCATGGGAGAAGCAACGAGGTATATCAATATCCCGCGGAAACGTATTTCGAATATGGCCCCTTTAAAAAACATCGCGCTCACGATGCGAACTGGCGATTTGCGAGGCGAAATACATTCCGCTCGGAAGGAGAAGATACCAATAATTTTCCGACGAATAATTTAACAAACAAGAGCTTGAAGTCCAGATTTTCACAAAGAAAGTTTCGCGTGGAATCGGCCACAGCGGCTCTCGCGAACGGTGAAGATTATTTCGTGTCCGGAGAGACAAAATACACAGGAAAGAATGCGAGGAAAATTGAAGATAAAACGAAAACAGAATTGACAGAATAGGCGAGATCTTCAATTGATGGGCAATGAAGGAATTTAGTTGCTCAACATAGATAATAATTATTTCTATATTTAATGAAGATGTAATATAAGGAAAATAGATTAAGAAATGCCGTGAATTAATGTAACACGAGAAGAAAGGACGTCGCATTGTATTGCGTTCCATTTTCAGGTCAAATCGCGACGTGATAATTGTCAACGGGCGTCTAAATAATTTCATCGGATAAATCGGATAAATCATCGATGCGCGATTATCGTAATTGACACATTCGCCCTATCTATGCACCAGACAAGCCTGTGAAACCTCGTAAATCGTCCTAGCTCGTCGGGATGAACCTAGCGTCGTCGCGTGTTTGCACACACTGTCCACTAATCCATCGCTGCAGTGCAGTTAATGGCGTTGCCTTGCACTAATTAGATTAATAGATCGCGTCAAAAGTTAAGAGACTTCGACATGTCGACGTCTTAATCCAGAATTAAATTGCATCCATTATACGTAATGTAAATTTATCGAATATTTTTAAAAAGAAGAATATTAAAAAGAAAAACAAGCATTTACTTTGGCTTTTGCTTAATAACATTGTTTGTCATTTCTATTTAGCTAGATTATGTAACACTTAGCTCATTTGCATATAAAATACTTTGAAAAATCATCGAAAATTACATTAAAATAAATTACAATTAAAATAAAGTAAGATTATATCATAATTTTGCATAGTCCTTAATAGAACCTGTATTCATGACGCAATTCTAAAGCTTAAAGAAAAAAGACAGAAGTACGTCGGGTGTACATGTTGTCTCTAAGATTTTCATAAAATGCAAACGTTTCATATGTATCCGCGCGATAAAAGCCAAATCTTTCAAACCCGCTGCGGCCACGCCGACTCAATCTCGCCGACTTACTCTCCCATCTAACAGGAAAAAGAGTGTATGCAGCGTATTCCCTTCTGCCCCGACCCGGCTTGGCTCAAAATATCTCGAAAGTTTCCTCGTAAAGTAAGGCCACGCGGCGGAATTCCCTCCGGCCAATTAAAGTCTCGAAATCGGACGTGCTCGCTTATGCAGGCAAAATAGGCAAGGCAGGAATGAGAGAAAAAGAGAACGAGAAACAACCGAGAAAAGAACAGAGAGAGAGAGAGAGAGAGAGAGAGAGAGAGAGAGAGAACCAGAACAAGAGGAAGGATAAGACACAGCCGTGTAGTCGGTGGATGTTATTACTTATTCGACTCTGGGATTTTAAGGGCGGGTTGGATTTATTTAGATATTCCGGCAGGAGCATCTGCTCGTGGTTCGATGTCTCCTCTCCCGCGCCTACGCTTGCCCGTTTCGCTCTTCTTCGGCGTGCATTAATATACGCACGGAGAGCCGGTAAGGGGTAGCAACATTTTTACATAACATTAGGTTGTTCGAGCTACTCGAAAGCTTCGTACTACGGTTTGGGGCCACTAATAGGGGTTAAAGCGAAACGCGAAACGTCGTCGTGAAGTTAAATTCTGTACATTGTATTGCAGTTTACCCATTTATAAACATCATAGAGATTAATAATTATGCTTCATTGTCTTTACTTCTTCCGTTGGAAATCAGTGTGATTATTGCAAATATTACTATATACGCAATCTAGACATGCAATAGGATCTGTTTCTTTTAGCTACG